TACAATTTTCGATGGAAAAACGATTCAATCGTGACGTGAAGAGACTTAGGAACCTAAAAGCTACTCCTGTGACGGTTGTGAAGAGATTTTTCGTACTTCAAAGAAGATTATATGCCCTCACTGAGAGTTTCGATTGGATATACAGCGGTCCCAACAGTATGAGATCTGTAGGCTAACATCAACTCAGAGTATGGGGCGATTTATCAACGCTTTTCACTGCTGTAAAATTACCGTAAAACTAAAGCAGATTTCAAAACATCAAGACCATTTCACTAAGAAAAAGAATTAAAAATGCTGAAAATCTTGCTTTAGATTTCTAAAGACACTCACTATATGTAAAATTTGCACTCATCCGTTATGCTTTTTTCAAAACTTACGCCAGGTATCCTGTGTCCCTCAGAAAAGTTTCCATGTGCGCCAGCGTGCGTACGTGGTGCAACGCTGCCTTTCGCTCTTTTTGACACGTTTCTCCTAAGATTTCAACGGAATTGCCCGAGGTTAACACGTACAAAATAGCGAAAGGCAGCGACATGACCTGTTACTTTATGGAAAATTTGCTGGGGAACAAACGATACACCGTAAAAAGTGTTTTGCAGCGCCTTTCAGAAATGTGATTGCCATTTGAAAAGGAAAGCTCGTGCGTAGTGAAATCAGCATATGTAATAACACCGCTGCACAGATTTTAGACCTTTTTTGGGGACAATTTTTGGATGTCTTAATTTGCAGTCGGTCTATACGCTGGAGTTTCCTACTGTGATAACACACAATAAGAAAAACATGAGTTCGCTTTCTGCTGTATTTATAAGCTGAAGCCATCCCTACTGGATTACCCAGAAATTGGCAAAAGACAGAGGTATTAGCGATCAAACGGTGTGTAGATACTTTTAACCATCCCGTATACGCTATACTTGGGTCCGAATCGAATAGAAATTCGATCATTCGAATAAAACATTCGAATATATTCGTATTCGAAATTCGATATTCGGAGTTCTTCCATTTTCGAATAATATTCGAAACTCGAATAATTGAGAAAACGGGGTTTCGAATAAAATTCGACACTCGAATAATCAAAAAACAGGGTTTCGAATAAAATTCGAAAACTCGAATAATCAAAAAACGAGGTTTCGAATATCATTCGAAAACTCGAATAATCAAAAAACGGGGTTTCGAATAGATTTTATTCGAATGTTTTATTCGAATGTTTATTCGAATTCGTATTCGAATGTACTCCGTATTCAGATATTCAGATTATCGACTTTGTTGCAGAGCCAACTGCTGAGTATCAAGCTCACTTCGTCCGCGTTTTTTTGCAAAACTCGGTAATGCAACTTTTGCAAACGTATACCTTTGAACTGTATGGAGAGTCGCATTCTTCCGATTGCTTGCGACAGTAAAAAAATCATATGTGGATTTTAATTGATGTTTTTTCGATCAATGAGATTGTTCGCACTGCTATGGCACCAAATCAGCAAAGAAGATATCAAATTCAAGCACATGTTCTGAGTTCATACTGAATTGAAATGGCTGTTCTTCTTTCTTTGCATTGCTCATGCTTGCGGTACACAAAGCCCACACTAGTGAGCATTCTTGCTCGCATAAATTATTGCAAAACTGCCTCCTTGAAGTTTTTTTTGCGAATTGGTGTATATTGAGTAAAGGGGTAAGTGAGGGTGCTGATTAAAACCGAAATCTCTTTTATTGATTCCAGCAATTTTGGAAAATTTTGAGTTGGTATAGGGGATACTAAGGGGCTGATTATGATTGAATCGGCTTTAGGCCCCGGACAGAATTCACGCGATTTGATCGTCGCGACTGAATCGCGACGAGACAACTGTTACAACATCATTCCATGCCGATAAACTTGCATTTCGGTTGTGATACTTTTCCAGCCTGAAATTTTTGAATGTGAAATGAAAATGAATGGAAATGTCGGCGATTGAGTCGCGACGATCGAATCGCGTGAAGTCTGTCCGGGGCCTTAGCCAGATATGTCGGCAAGTTTGAGATGTGATTGCTTTAGTTATTCGATAAATCATTCGAATATTTATTCGAAATTCGACTTCCAATGTTCGAATATATTCGATATTCATTCATTCGATATTTTTGTTTTTCCGAATTCATTCGAAATTCATTCATTCGATATTTTTGATTTTCCGAATTTATTCGAAATTCATTCATTCGATATTTTTGATTTTCCGAATTTATTCGATATTCGTTTATTCGAGATTTTTTATTTTCGAATTTATTCGATATTCATTCATTCGATGAAAAAATATCGAATTACCCAAGTATAGTATACGCTATGCTTATCTAATTTTCGAATAGTCAATTCTTATCGAATTTCCGAATATTCGGTGCTCGACGAATATTCGAATCTTTGATGGACCTCGAATGATCGAATAAATGACCCTCGAATATTCGACTATCGAATATATTCGAAAACTGAAAATTACGAATATTCGACTTTCGAATTTTATTCGAAGCTAGCTGATCTGCCCGGTCCAGCCCGGGAATGATCACTGATCGGGAATGAAGGTAAGGTATTCGGTGGCATTGTAGAAACTGTGTAAAGAACAAAAACAAAATGTGAACACTTATTAGTCGGTAGCATATCTCTCTTTCTCCAAATCAAGTTCAACACGCAAAACCTAAGCAAGCAGCGCAAGTTGATTGATAGCAGCGCTCATTGTTATTATGAGGATCATTTTTTGTGACACTTTGCCGCTAACCGGCTACTTCATCTTCATTCACTGCTTGCCGTCAATTTTTGTGGAGTCGGCAGTACTTTGCACTCGCGCACTTTCCTGGTCCCAGGGATCAACTATAGCGAATGTGAGTTGTCGCTTGTCTTGTCTTTGTTTCAAAGAATGAATAGCTTTATGCCCTTTTCTCCACTTTGTGCATGACATAGAATAAACGCTCCCTGTCTTATGAGATAGTCGTTTGACTGTTTTTATAGCCGTTTGACTATTCACTACAAAATTCAAAGCCTTCACTTTTTGTGGATGCTGTTTTGACGAACAAAAGTATGACGAATATTGATCGGCTCACACTGACATCAGAACAGTCCTTTTGAAGGCAGTGCCCAGGCAGATCTGAACCTATGGGGATTTTACGTGGATAGTAATTTTGGGGCCCTAACTAAGGCACTGCCCAAGCGACCGCACAGGTAAATCACTAAAGGGAGAGATATGCGCCTTCAAAGTGGACCCCAGGAACTGTTAGCATGGATCCATGGCAGTTTCGCCCGAGGACCCAGCTTTGCGCCACGAATCCATGCGAAGTACGATCCCGGGGTCCAGTTCCGAGGAGAATATCTCAGCCATTAGAGCACTATCTGAGCTGCCGGTTGAGCAGTGGCTTAGTTAGGGCCCCAAAACTACTATCCACGTGAGGTCCCCATGTGTTCAGACTTGCCTGAACGCTGCCTTTAATGCGTCATAGCCACTCGCACCATAAAGTCAATGTATTTTGCAAAAGACATGAAATGTGGAACCTACATTTCCAAACGCTTTTCACCCTGCTTTGATGACAGAGGTTTAGAATGAAACATACTGCTCTTGCTACATGATTCGATGAAAATGATATGACAGTGCCTCTTCATTTCTCTACTTAGGTTGCAAATCTTATATATAAAGCTGAATGTCTGTTTGTATGTATGTCTGTCTGTACAGTCGCTTCATTTCATATGATCATGTGTGTCTCTGCACACAGCGTCCAATTTTGGCGTCCTCATCCGGGATTTTGGCCGTGGCGCAGACACCCTCCAGGTGAGTGGTTTTTGATGTTTTTTCAATGTTTTCTCTCTATTTCAGGTACGAACTCTTCGAAATGATGCAAATGGGAACTACTCGAGTGGTTTAGTGCGTTTCTACGCATGATTCGAAGTGATTTGAAACGCGACTTCTACATGCCTATCAAAATCTTCTCTAAGGTGAGTTTTTATGATGTTTTATGTTTGAGTGTCTACTCTTTCTACAAAAGCGGCTATGAAACAGCGCTTTATCACAGTTTTTGTCGCCGTCCATATTCGTTTTTGCTTCTTAGGCTGCAGTAATCTCTTTTCCTTCTCCTAGTAAGTTTTTTTTCGTTTCCTTTTCTCGATATCGGTACATATGTGATGAAATGAGTAGTAGTTGCTTGTCGCTAGATGGATTTTGAGTGATTTTGCTGTAATGGCTATTTTCAGAAAACGTGGGAGTCGTCTCTCGGTGAGTGTTTCGTCTTTTTGATGTCTTACCTGTTTTACCCGCTGGCTTATATCAGCGGATCATCCTGTGTTGCCCTACAAGTGGCTGTTGACATGCCCATTATCCATTGCATGTTATTTGAGGCAGCATGCATTACTTCTAACTTACTTCGTGCATGGTTACTATTCGCTGCAGTCCTTGTTTTATTGTATATCTGCCATCGGGTTGTGTGCCGATGCATGAGGGTCTTCACTTCTTTATGGAAAGTGAAGTCCATCATGCCAGGGGCAAACACCGGCATTTGCTACATAGCATGTTTTCAATTTGTGCATGCAAGAGGAAGGAAATGACACTATTTTTATCCCGTTCTTTCCACGTTTACTGTTACTGCACTTGTTATGTCTCAAATTCATGCAGATGCGATAAGCGCTTTTACTACATTGTTCTTCTCTACCTACATTTGCCATGATTTGTTCTTCTCTACATTTGAACTGCTGTTTGTGAGGTTTCATCTCAGTTTTAAAACAAGATTTGTAGCACCATTATTTTTATTGAAATGTGAGAAAGCAAGTGAGAGCTTACTGAAAGACAAAAAATTCTTGAAAACACTTTTTGAAATGCAAGTTGTCATGTGTTAAAGGTACAGACGGAATGTGAGCAATCATATGAGACACGTAAAAAGGATATGTTAGATGAGGTTGAGTGTATCGTGGTAGTAATATGAAAGTGAAACAAAAGAAATTCTAGGAACAACTAAGGGGCTATGGATGTGAAAATGTGCTAAATACAGGTTACATCTATGTATATACATCATTCGATAAACTCTGTGAGATCTTCCATTACGTCATCTATCTCAACTAATTGTGAGACTTCCTCATCGGAGGAAGACTCGTCCAACGGCGGAAGGTCTCTGTTAATGTTGTTGCTGGCTAGATCCACAGCGATCTTTGATCTCGCTGCGTCCTCCTGGCCAGCAACGTGCCGAAACCAGCCGCTGCTCAGTGTCGAAGGGAAGCCATTCATCCACTCTATCGTTCTTGTCCTCACCTAAATATTCTACCTCCAACAAAAGATGACAGTTAGTAGGTCCTACCAGCTCCAACGTGTCTCCTGGTTTTCCCACTTTGCAAAGGTGAGCTTTTAGTTGACTCCAACATAATTCGATGGGATTAAAGAAACAGTGATAAGGCGGAAGCCTTATCACTGTAATCCCATGTTCGCCGCAGATGGAATCAGCGACGTAAGTGCGCACAGCACTTACGCCGCCGCGGCTTTGTATGAAATCTTGAAGCTGGAACAAAGACGCATCATGGGAGTCAAGAATTGTTGGAGCAGAACTACCTCAACTAAAAGCTGCTCTTTCGTGCTCTTTGCCGGGACTGCTACGCCATTCTTCGTGAGATATTCTTCAATCTCTGATTTTCTTGAAGCACGAGTAGGGACCTAAACGGATTGAATCTGTGTGTAATCAGGCACTTCTCGTGCATGCACCTTCTCTTTTTGTCGGCTATGGTATGGAGCGTTATCCATTATGAGTGCGATGGGACGACCACCGGCGACCGTTTGCATGTGGGGTATGGTGTCTCGTAGCCAATTCTCAAACAACACAGCATCCATGTCCCGGTGGTAATCGTCATCCACATCCCTGACTCCACTGATGATGACTTTAGTAGATTCCGGGACGGCTCCCTCTTCCGTTATGGCCCCTATGACTATGGCACGTCTACCCTTATTCTTTGCCGCAGTTCTACCGCAGGAGAATTCACGCAGTGTCGACTCAGGGGCAAAAAGGGGGATGGTGTTGTCATTCCATCCCCTCTTTCTCGTCATTGAATCAAATACCCATGTCTCGTCCATAAAGACGAGACAACTCTGTTGATTTCTTGCCGCTTCCATAGCTGAGAGGTACACCGCTCTCTTGTGGACCAGATCGGGACGTTCGTAAATAATAGGTTGGTTTCTGTTTATTCTATACGAAAAGCCTAAGCCTTTGACGAAATAATAGAATGTCCCAGTGCACATTTTGAAGGACGGATAGGCTTCTTGAAGTTCTTTTCGCATCTCCTCAATAGTCACATCTTTTTCTTCTCGTAACTTTCCATGGATGGCATGTCGTACGATCTGGCCCCACTGCTCTCCATACTTCCTAACGGCTGCTTCCATCAGCTCCTTCTTGCTGCCTCTTCGTTGCGTAGTTCTTTCTGGCTCGCTTATACTGTCCTCTCTTGTGACTTTCCACACTGTGCGAATCGAGATTCCGCAAGCCAAAGCTGTAAGCTGAGCTGGCGAGTTAAAGATGGTACCAGTGGATTCTTCTCCTAGCTGTCGCTTCAACTCGATGAAGAATGTTCTCACTCGTCCTATTATCTCCTTCGCCTGACTGTCCAATTTTCTGCGGCTTACTTCTGCGGTAGAACCTACTGGCACGGATGGATGATCTGCATTTCGAAACATATCAAAAGTGAGTGACTTGAAACGGCTTCTTGGTTCATCAGGTGCCTAAAGTGAACTTTTAAGGACTTTCGCGCGCATCATTTATCTTTTCAAGCTAAAGTTTTACGAGGGAACGAACCGAGTGCGAAGACTCTTGTTCCGGATGGTGTGAAGTGCTAGCTGCTGGTTCGGCTGGTTCTACAAATCTCCTCTATAAAGTTGTAAATCACGTCGGCAAGAACTCTAGATCTGATCTTGAACTCCACATGCCAACCTTATACTCTTCCAAGTATCTCAGCACAACAGCTTTCGCCTCCGCGTTAGTGACATCGCGTGCAAACTAAATAACGTGGTTCAACCATCCTATGCGAATCACTGAGATACTTCGAAACTGTAGAGTTTAGACATTATGACCCAAAAGTCACTAGAAACAGTTGTAGCAGCGTAAGAACAGCTATAGCCTACAATTTGAAGACGAATAAAAATTGCTTGCCTGTCTATTACTGAAGTTATCCATGGCTTTTAGAAGCTTTTGAGCAGGGCAGTTTCTAAACGAGTAAAACTGTAGGTAGATTGTTTATAGAGGCAAAGAAGACTTCTGAGACAAGGAGCCGTTAACACAAAGAAAAAAAAACTATAAACAAGCATGGACTAAAAGAAGACGCTTGCAGCTTGCATCGCGTTGGGATCGCGCGTGATCTATCGATCGATATCAATTAAGCCTTAAATTATAGGCTTCTAAGCTGTGAAACTTTTGATGCATGACCGACAATAGTTTCAGAAGTTTTGTAACAGCATCATTAATACAGCTTGGCATATATTACATCAAGATCTCGCCCTTGAAGCCGCTGCGTTCTACCCAGCTGATACCTATCGTATGCGTATGCTTCATAAAGCGACTTTTGACTTCCGTAGAACGATTCGGTTGTTTCTTTTATGATGAAAGTAGCCTCAATAGCCGTATATACTACTTCGGTGTAGAACTTTTAAGGCAAGAAGAAAACGTTGAGTATGTACATGTTTCAGCTGTTTTACATCTGCTCGTGAAAGTTTTAGTTTTGTGAGAGACTTACCATAAACGTAGAGACGTCCTAACATCTCAGCATGGAATTTGTACTGAAACGATATAAGGGAACAATTTTACACATTCCTTCATTTATGTGCATGCTCTCGCTGCGACTGCATGACTGCGGATACACAATACTAGATGCCGGTGTTTGCGCTGACATAACGTACTTCACTTTCCATAATGAAGTGAAAGGCCGTCATGTGTCGGCACACAACTCAGCAACATGAGTAGCATGCGTTAAGACAAAGACTGCAGCGAATAGTAACCATGCACGAAGTAAGTTAGAAGTAATGCATGCTGCCTCAAATAACATGCAATGGATAATGGGCATGTCAACAGCCACTTGTAGGGCAACACAGGATGATCCGCTGATATAAGCCAGCGGGTAAAACAGGTAAGACATCAAAAAGACGAAACACTCACCGAGAGACGACTCCCACGTTTTCTGAAAATAGCCATTACAGCAAAATCACTCAAAATCCATCTAGCGACAAGCAACTACTACTCATTTCATCACATATGTACCGATATCGAGAAAAGGAAACGAAAAAAAACTTACTAGGAGAAGGAAAAGAGATTACTGCAGCCTAAGAAGCAAAAACGAATATGGACGGCGACAAAAACTGTGATAAAGCGCTGTTTCATAGCCGCTTTTGTAGAAAGAGTAGACACTCAAACATAAAACATCATAAAAACTCACCTTAGAGAAGATTTTGATAGGCATGTAGAAGTCGCGTTTCAAATCACTTCGAATCATGCGTAGAAACGCACTAAACCACTCGAGTAGTTCCCATTTGCATCATTTCGAAGAGTTCGTACCTGAAATAGAGAGAAAACATTGAAAAAACATCAAAAACCACTCACCTGGAGGGTGTCTGCGCCACGGCCAAAATCCCGGATGAGGACGCCAAAATTGGACGCTGTGTGCAGAGACACACATGATCATATGAAATGAAGCGACTGTATGTATGTATGTCTGTCTGCACGTATGTTCCGAATAAAAAATTCCATTTCTGAACCGATCGGGACCAAACTTGGCACACATACAATTCGGGCCCCGGCGGGTGTCATAGGCTACTTTTCGTATCGATCGATATCGATTTTATCGATTTTTTGGAAAATTTGAGCTACGGGGCTGGGAGTTGGCACAGGGGGGTAAGTGAGCATGGGGATTCCGAATACAATATTAGTTTTTGAAATCGTGCATTACTTTTATCGATTTTATCGATTTTTTTGCAAAGATTGAGCTACGGGGCTGGGATTTGGCACAGGGGGGTAATCGAGCATGCTGATCACCCCCGTGGGGATGATCAGCATGCTCGATTACACCCCTCTGCCAAATTTTAGCCCCCTAGCTCAAATTTTGCGAAAAAACGATAAAATCGATGAAAATGATGCACGGTTTCGAAAGCTAATATTGTATTCGTAATCAGCATGCTGGATTACCCCCCTGTGCCAAATCCCAGCCCCGTAGCTCAAATTTTGCAAAAAATCGATAAAATCGACATCGATCGATAGAGAAAAGTGGACTGTGACACCCACCGTGGCCCGAAGTGTATGTGTGTCAAGTTTGGTCCGGATCGGTTGAGAAATGGAATTTTCTATTTGGAACATACGGCGGAGCCGGGTAAGCCAGCTAGTAATCAATAAATCGATAGAAGGACCCACTGAATTGTCGCAAAAAGTAGCCTATCTTCTGCGCCTGGCCTCATTTACAGGGGAGCAAATTTCAGCCTCATCGGTTCACAAACAAAGGAGTGTATAAGCCACATACTTACATACTAACAAATTTACAGAGATTGAGTTTTATTTATATATAGATTTCAGATTTTCGAATATTCGACTTTTCGAATCATTCGCATTCGAATGATTTATTCGAATGATCGAATAATTAATCGATTCGGTACCAAGTATGGCGGGCGTGGATGGGGAGAGGCGGGCATGGATGGGGGTCCACGCGCATCTTTGCTATTCCGAAGCGATTTTCTCGCTTCCGAAGCGGCATTTTGCTTCGCGACTTGGGCATTGGGTCAATAGGGGACCTTACTATTATATGCCGCTAAAAGCTCAACAACTTGGGGTGAACAGTGCCTTTAAGAGCATCTGTTGTATATGTCCGCATGGAACCTCCTCTTTCGGCACGTATAGCCCTCTACCCAATTGTCTCGGGCATCTCCACCTTTCGCGCATATCGTAAAGGTACCTTGATCAAGTAGCGATGCTAGTTCAGCTTATCGCTTTGAAGTTTGTAGAAGCGTATCGAGACTAAATTTAAGGGAGCGTATAACTATACCGTGATTATAATACCACTTTTAAGTGGAGAGGGGAAGAGAGAATATTAGAGACAGACCAAGGTTTCAATCTTAAAAAGAGTTATTTGCCTGTAGGTCACGTAAGTAACTGATGGCAAATAACTCTGATCTAGACTTTTACAAAAGTTCGCTAGCTATTTCAGTAGGTTTTCTTTTGTGGAGGACAGGGGGTCTATAGTTTGGAAAAATTTGGAAACGCAGTAGCTGGCACACCTAACACGCTCATCTAATGAAATTCCAAAAAAAGTTTCTTGAACCTTTGCATTCCGACCTAAAAATTCCGAAACAATAGCATGACTCCAGCTAGCCCTTCTTCTCGACTTTTCACGCTTTTCGCATTCTAAATATTCTGGAAAACACGAATTTTGCTGCTGTCATGCTCGATTTTTGCAAAGCTCAAGCTACGGGGCTGGGAGTTGGCACAGTGGGGTAATCGAGCATGCTGGTTGCGATTACAATATTAGTTTGGCGCTATTCGGATTTCCGGGCCTCAAAATTTTTTTTGTCGTAGAGCTTGCTCAAACTTCGTGTGTAAGGGTTATCTACATGCTGATTACAGATATCACACTTTCTCCGCAGAACTTCTCCCCGTGTCGTTACGGTAGGTGTATGGTAGGAAGTCAAAATCATGAATTCTGCTGGAGTTCGGTCCAAAGAACTTATTCGACATGCTGACTACGAACTTCATACTCTCTCTGCGTAGTGGGAACTTTTCATAAAGTTATGGTGGTTATACGGTATGGGGTCGAAAACATAGATATGCATTAAACTTCGTTTAGGGCGGTCATTAAGCGCGCTGAACATGAAGACTAATTTCGCAGGACAGCTCATTTTCCTGGGTTAGGGTGGGTGTACAGTAGATGGGTTCGAAGTTTCAGATTTGCTTAAAACCTTACCTGTAACGGTTACAAGCACACAAGCACACTGCTCATGAATATAATGCTTGCTCGCTGTCATAACGGGTTATTGTAAAGTTATGGTGAGTTGCAGGGTTTGCATGGACATTTTTTCGCTTTCGGGCCAATTTAGATCCCAGTTTTGCATGGCGGTCTCCAGCACCATCCTCATAACCTGTCCCAGCGCGTAACGCACGCGGCAAATCTCCCTCCCCTGTTTTTGCTTAGGCAAAAGCCGCCGAAGGGTGTATCGCGCGCGGCAGTGGTCCTATAAGAAGACCGATAACCTGTCCCATCGCGTAAGTGTTTCGCGCGCGGCAGTGGTCCTATAAGGGATGCATTACGGTCGTGGAAAATTTTTATATTACACGAATTGTCTTTAACGTGGGGATTGAGCACGATATTCTTGAAACAGCACTTTAGGTTTTCTGCCAAGGTTTCAGGCAGGTTATGATTTTTACCCGCTGCCACGCGAAATGACTACGATATTTGTCATCAGCGGCGCAAATAACCCCCCATTACCGAGTTTGAGCAAGATCCGTCACAAAATTTTGGGGCCCGGATAGCCGAATAACGCCATCAGTTTTTAGAATTACCCTTACTTCTATCAATTTTATTGATTTTCTGCAAGGTTTGAGCTACAGGGCTGGGGGTTGGTGAGGAAGGTGGTGAGCATGCTGATTACTAACACAGCTGAAATCCTTATTACCCTGTGACAAAGAGAGGTTTAAACGGCAAAAAGGCAAAAATTCAATATTCTTTGGACAAGGATTACTCAAAGCGGATGTTGAATCACTAATCAACAAATTGAGTTTTATCTATCAAAGGTAGAAATGCAAAACTCTGCGATATAGACGTAACGGGTTAAGGTTACGATTCTGAAAGACTGACAACTTGAGATGCAAGAGGCAAAATCTTGTTAAACTTCAAGCAGATATCTGTCTTACAGAAAAAATACACAATAGAATGAAAGAAGAAGAGATTGTGCTTCAACTATAAAGGCAGAGAATATGGAACTATAGCAAAAAAGAATAGAAGATACCCACTACTGAGCAAGAAGTCATTGAGTGTTTGAAACAACGGAAAAGCATCCCAAAAATCCGGTGCTTGAATTTCCATTGCTGAGTCGAGATCGACAGAGTACAACGATCAGAATATTTCCGATCGGCTAATAGATCGGAATACCAAGCGAATGTCTAAAAAGCTTCATTATTTCCTACAAATTTCTCCCAAAGTGAAACCACGAAATGCACAGCCTTCTTTCACACAATTGCAATTATCTGCTGGAGGGATTAGCGCAGAAGTGTTAAATACGAAACACTTTGGTTCTCTTAGTGTAACTGCACACTTTGCGGATTTTAATGAGTCATGCTGCTGCACTTTTGGACTACTCATTTCAAATCCAAGATAATATACTATATTTTCTCATTAGCTTATAGAATCCTTTGCTGCATTATATCAAATCTAAAGTTAAAAGTTGACCTTGATCAGGCTCAGGCATATAATCAATGGTGAACTCGCTTACAATTTCGGTAGAATTCGATTTCTTTTGCCGGAAACTACAAACAGCAGTTGCATATAGAGACACATGAAGATAGCTTACATGATATGAAGCTCTCTATGAGGTAGACATCAACCTACTTGAACCAACCAGAAAAATCGTCGCTTTCACTCCTTCCACGCCTGCCAACCGATACAATAACAATAGCCGCAGTATTTGAGATTGTAAAGCTCCTACCCGTATTGTTATCCTGATATTCAAGTTCTGATCGGCACTGTTCTTAGAGACAGTCATCGTATACCTTCCTGTGACTGCGAGCTGTTAGGCGTAGGTTGGATAATCACCATAAATTCAATGTGACGGAGATTGATTGTTGGCGATTACCAGATAATGTGCTAATTTTGGCTATACTCTACCATGACGCCGTTACAATCAGCCAGTATTACAGCTGTCAAACATGACAGACGGTCGGTCTCATTTTAATAAGTGCGACTGCACCCGCTAACGAGATTTCTTAATCACTTAATTGCCAATCGGGTGTATACTTTAATGAGACTAACCATTCAACACTGATGACAGCAATGGTAGCGGCAAAAGGAAAACAGCGACGAGCCGAACAATATGTCAAAATCATCTCACCATGAACCACGCACTGATACACTCACCTTTCCAAGTTTTTTGTCTTCAAAAGCAACGATGCTTTTTACCTCAATGTACAACATGACCTTGACGACATTGACGGATTTTTCGTAAAGAAATCTCCTTGTGTATCCCATCTATAAAAACTGAACAACGAAAAATCTAGTCACGGCACAGTTATTAGCTTTTAAATAAACTTGATAAAGAACTTGCTCGAAATGACAATGAAACCCACGATGGCTTTGAGCTTCAGCATGGTCCGTTTGCAATTTATGCTCAACCACTTCCATGGCACAGTAGACTATTCTATTGGGAGCTATCGCTTTTAATCATTGTGCTTCCATTACAACAACCTAAGAATGATATTCAGGAAATCTGAAGCGACACTACAACGTTTTTACCTCTATGTCGAATGTAGCACGACATCGCTCTTTGTTAAGGTAAGCTCTCCGTTGTCGCTATCATTCTTGTTCAGCGAACCGGAACTAGTTCTCCTCTTGAAACTAAAAAATTCACCTTCTAAAAGTTCACCAGATCTAGCTGGAAACTCATTACCCTGCTGAGGGGGTGATCACTTAGAAAACATGCGAACATGAACCCACAGAATATAACCAGACCAATAGAACCAAGGAAACTGGAATGGACGTGACGGATTGAAAAAGTCAGGCGTTGGACGGACGACTACCATTATTGCATGCAGAAATGAGCATGAGCGTGACCGCAAAATCAAAGCTTCCCTGCAATACCTGTCGGCACTTGTCAAGCACGTCCGGTTAAAGGCAGCGTCCGGGCAAAATTTCGTCTCCCATGTTTTTGCCATTCTGGGGCCTTTCCGTGTCTCTGATTACATCTGCAAAGTCGAAATTGTTCAAAACTCCCAAAAAATCCTGTTTTGGGGAATCCTCTCTTCGAAAGGTAGACTGTTTCGATTTGCTCGTCCCCATCCTCATGCCAGCGAGAGGAGCTGCAACTGTACGGATGCAGTTGCATTGCAGTGTGCAGTGCAACTGCAATGCAACTGCAATGCAATCGCACACCTGCGTAAGCACTCGTCCTCAGGGGTGGTTTGTGATACGAAGGGCGGCTTATGATACGTATCACAGGCCCGCATCTCCTTTTAGGCCCGTATGCACGTACGTCCCCGCTGGGGAGGGGAGGGGAGCTGGATCCCCAGGGGAACGATCCCCTCCGCCGGACCCCGCCATGACAGAGGGGAGGGGAGCGATCCCCTCCCCTGCACCTAAGCGGGGATGATGTGAATGGTTTCAGAGGTATTGATCGAGCGAACCCCAGTGCATACGGGGTTCGAAGGGGGAGGGGATCCCTTCCCTTCCCCCACTCGAACCCCGTATGCGCGAATTCAACTCAATAACGCGGGGGAGGGGATCGACATCCCCTGCAACGAAGTAGGGGTTCGATGGTGTAGATCATGCCAGAGACGCGGATATTCTGGTTCTGCTCAGTCATTACCAAGCATTTCGTTCATTTTGATGGAGGATTTTCTATGAAAGCCGGGTTCTTCTCTCAGCGACCTGTGGCTTGCAATTTGTCTTTCTTTTCTATATTCGCCTCTTAAGAAGAAATCCGAGCAACAATAGCTGCCAAATTCGATTATTTGTAGGAGTTCTTGATCATTCAGGAAATTTGCGCATTTTTCATATAACATAATAGTTTTAACTATATAGGCTGAGTAAACACATTGTGACTTTCATATTCCATGACATGTTGCCATTATCTCGTTATTTTAACATAAGCTGTCTCCAAAAAACCTAGAAAGTAACATACTTGCCTATTTCTGAGTAGAAATCCCCTGGGGAGTGATCCCCTCCCCAGCGTTCCCCTTGTGCATAGCAGGGGTGGCTGCTGGGGATCATTCCCCTGGGATAAAGGACGATATGCAGCTGATAGCTACAGCGTTTATGGAGAGCTGGCACAATTTGCAGCTTCTGTTATGTGTTAGAACACTGCTCTGAGCGTCCGCGCGGCACCCCCTCCCCTTTTCGGCAGCATAACGTCTTCTACCCATTCCCTTGCAGAGACACATCAACTTCTATAGTTCAAAGTTTTTACGCTGAAATGGAGCAGCATGAGCGAAAGTGGGCAGCATCCAAGAAAGCAGGAACATAATGGGAGTAGAAAAAATCATTTTTAGTGCCCCCGAGCGCAGTCACTGCATACGCGCATTCCGCAACCCTAAATTAATGAAAGTGAGGAGATGAAGATGAGTTGCAGTCAAAATATGAAATAAGAAAGAGTTTTTCATAGAAAATTTGAAAGCAAGGTGATTTCCCCGCTTGATCCCCTCTTGTGCATAAGAGGGTTCACTTCCCCTCCCCACAGGGGATCCCTTGTCCGATACTGTCTTTGTGCATACGGGGGTTCGCGCGGGGAGGGGAGGGGATCCCCAGCGGGGATCATTCCAATGGTTAAGCGCACATCCCCTCCCCGCGGGGATGTACGTGCATACGGGCCTTAGAGGGCACGTCAAAGGCGTGGGCCAAGCAGATTGGATACTCATGGGCCCCTCTTTACAACTATGTGATAATCTGGGTGAATGGATCTTGCCTGGACGCTGCCTTTAAAGCCAAACGACTCACAAGGCCAATCGATTGTATTTGATACGCGTCGGAACAATCACGACCAAGTTGCTGGTGCAGTCGGGTCAACGTCAGGACAAAACTTTGTCCCGAAACAAACCGAAAGTGGGCGGATCTCCGGCGGTCGTCAATCGCGAATGTCTGAGTTATCGCATCGCATGGGCTAAGTCCAATTTATTCGCACGAAAAGCCTATTTCGCGGGGACTTTTGTGGATATCATTCCTAAATATTTCTGCGGACGTCTATCCGCAAAGGGTGTGAAGTAGCGCGCATATCCCTTAGTAGACTTCAGCAAGGATTGTCGGCACTACTTTTTCTGTAAGTTATGGAGTTTAAAAATAGCCGCAGGCAATTTTCAAGAGGAAATACAGGGTGTCCCAAAAGTAATACACACTTTTCAACCGTTAAAAGCTTCCCTCCCAATGTGTCTTTTCCCCCATCTAAGTACTATTCTATGAGAAGGCTTCAATTTAGATATACAGTGGGGTCGAGCAAATCACCGATCGCTTTTCGTTACTGTAGGATTGCGGTAAGAACTTCCAGCAGGTGGAACCATTGTGAAATATGCCATCTGACAGAATTTTTTCCAAAAATCTGAAAAATCGTGTAACATGTTTTCGCGCACGCTGATTAAACACTTTTACGAGCGTTTTCAGCCTTTTTGATGGTGTAATCACATTTCTTGAAAATACTGGGAATTTGGTGATTACTTTACCTGGGATAACTTTGGAAAGAAGCATCACAGTAAAGTGAAAGTTTCAAACTCGAAATCAGCTTCTTCTACCATAATTTAAAAGTTTTGGCTTGTTTGGTATTGTTCCGAGGCAGAATATGGCTTCCCATAGCCTGAAATCATTGTTAAAGTTCCTACACTGATTTTACGGTAATGAAGACCGATCAGTGATTCGTGCGGAACTGTAAATTTAAGTTGAAGCCTTTTCTACAGAAATGGTGTTCAAATGGCGAAAAAAGAGACAATGGGTAGAAAGATACTGACAATTGAAAAGTGTGTACTTACTTTTGCGACACCCTGTAGAAGGGCTGGTAAATTGTGGAAAAATCCTGTTTTACCAAATTCTACTCAGCATAACCTTAGAATACGAAGCTGGCGTGTCGATATGCGTTTCGTAATCAGCAGATCAGATAATCCGTGTGAGCAAGTTTTCAGAATTTCGGGTTATTTGATTTTTTTCTCGTTTCACGCTCTGGGGTTTTTCTCCGTTTTAGCCAGTACGCCAGTAGGTTTGGTCATAATGTTGATGGTCTTGGTTTGGAAGGAAACTCCGCTTATAAAGGCTTCGAACACGCTGTTTATGAACATCGTGGTCTTTGTCAATTACAGGGCCTTTTTGCAGAGATGTGGCAGGTAACTGTAAGGGAGTCACGACAGTTCTCAAATTCGCCTGCACCTCTCGCGTATCTGTCAAGAAACTTGTCTGCTCGCTTTCGAAGGTTAAAGTAAATAGGAACTGTGCTATATGGTGCATGCCTCAGGCTCCAGTCTATAACAGTCGTTGAGTTACGAGCCTAGAAAAAGGTCCTCATGAATTGTGTTCAAAATTTGAAGATCGTATACTTCGTTAAAGTTCCACCGTAAGTGCTTGTATAACACGGTGTTTAAATCTTTACGCATCGCTTAATGGATCCTATGTGTTGGATTTAGTAGTTGGATAGATGTGAGCTTTAGCCACGAAGCTGCTTCGATATTCAACTAGCTGGCTTACCCGGCTCCGCCCGGCCCTGTCAATGCTATGATTAAGGTTTTATCCCTATCCCTGTAAAACTTTTCATTGTGCCCACTTTTACATGCAATTCCCTACTCCCGCTGTGTTAGTAATTAGCATGCCCACCTACCTCCCTCAACAACCCCCAGCCACGTAGCTCAAATTTGCAAAAAAACCCAATAAAACCGGTAAAAGTAAGGATAATTCTGAAAACTGATGGCGCCATTCGGCTGTCCGGCCCCTTTTTGTGATGGATCTTGCTCAAAGTCGGTACATCGGGATTATTAAGGCCGCTGATGACGAATATCGTAGTCATTTCGCGCGATATAGCGCCATTTTCTGGGTTTACGTTGGGTACACATAAGAAGCTAAAATCATGGATTTTGCTAAAACTTTGAGGGAAGCTAATCGACATGCTGATACGAATATCATACTCCTCCGGCATTTTGGGGCGATTTCACTGAGTTATGGTAGGCATACTGCAGACGGGCGAAATCTCTTTGGCTGAAACTCGTCTAGAAAGATTCAACCTTCTGGCCACGTTCAAAACACTCTCGTTGCGTCTTGAGACCTTTTCGCGGAGCTACGGTAAGTACATGGCAGCGGGTAAAAATCATGAACCTGCCTGAAACCTTGGCATAAAATTACCTAAAGTGCTGTTTCAAGAATATCGTGCTTAATCCCCACGATAAAGCGAATTTGTGTGGTATAAAAGTTCCCCACCACCGTAATGCTTTCCCTTATAGGACCACTGCCGCGCGCGAGACACCCTTTGGCGGCTTTGCCTAAGCAAAAACAGGGGGAGGGAGATTTGC